ATTAATTATTTTACAATTCTGTTTTTTTTAAATTAATTTAACTTGGACCATTTTATCATTTTTCAACTGTCAAATATGGAGGTGGAAGTTTAATGATGTGGGGGTGTTTTTCATATTATGGAGTTAGAAAGTTGGTGTTTATAGAGAATAAAATGGATGCTATTTAATATGTGCGCATCCTTTTCAATAACATCTTTGAATCTGCTGCATCAATGGGTTCGAAGCAGTTCATTTTACAGCAATAAAACCACCAAAAACACACATCAAAGCTGGCAGCAGAGTTTTTGAGAGAGAAAAATGTGAAATTATTGCCTTGGCCTGCTCAATCACCAGATATAAACCCAAGTGAGAACTTATGGGGGATTATAAAGTCTAAAATAGGCATATTAAAGCCTAAAAATATCAACGAACTTACAGATGAAATTGGGCATAAATAACCACGGATATGAAAATGAGATTGGCTGGGAGTTTTCTAAAACGAGCTATTGCTCTTTATAAAGCAACAAAATATATAATGACTAGTGGTGCGTTTTCTTAACAAAAATGTTAAAAAAATGATAAAATAGTCCAAATTAAACTTATTTAAAAAAAACAAAAATGTAAAATAATTAAAAAAATACAGCTATCTAAAATATAATATCGACTTGTTTTAATTGTTGTCATTTTGACCAAAAAAAGAGTGGTGCGTTATTTCAACAAACTCTAATTTCGTATATAGCCCAAGCTTGGTTTCGACACTTGTGCCAGCAATTGTGCAGGAGTAGATTTTGCTGAATCAAAGAGAAGGCGTTAAGTTTACGTAAATGGAGCGAAATTAATACTATTTCAAGAGTGGTGACAGCATAAGGATAGGGTAGATAAAAGATGGACTCTCGACTTTTGATGTGTTCGAAAATAACCGTTTTTGCACACTTAAAATAGCATTAAATACTTGCTGATGTTGACAAACGAACATTGCTGGATGAATTTGTATGGAAGTTGAGTTGGTTAAAGACGGGATATGCTGACTATTTTCAATGGAAGACAATCTACCATTGCCCCGGCAAGATGGCAAACCTTCCTTCTGCTTCAGGAAAAAGTTACAGCTAGACGAACTGTTAGCAATGCAGATGCATAAAGGAATGTTCCAAGGATTATTATGAATTCTAGGGTCTCGTAGATATCTTGAATGCTATAAAAGGCAATAATAGTGTAAAAGCGAAAAATAGGCCCATTTACTCAGATTTGTGATCGTAATCTTCACATAATTCGCATAAAAACATTAGTTTCGTACAGAATACCAGTTAATGATAACGGTTGTGTAATGTCACTTATATGAGATGTATTCACACTATTTCGTTTAGTGTGATGAAGGACTTCGCCTAGACTTAGGCGAGGTCAACTTCGGCCTGGATGAGAACAACTTTTGGTACAGCAAGGCTATGGGGAGCTCAATGAAAAAGTCATGTCTACTCATAACATTGTGGGAAAATTCCACGAACAGTTCTTCATTAGATTAAACGAAATAGGGTGAGTACATCACATATAAATGATCTTTTGGTGGTCGTAAAACTCTGCTTATTAACGAAAGATGTGTAATATCACATTTTAAAAGGTTGATCAAATTTGGATTCTGCTAATCTGCAGTTAAAATGAATTACAATTCCGTGAAGCTTGGCAAGTTTCAAGTAATATGGTTCAGCTCATGAAGAAAGGACAAACCTAAGACTAACCTGATGCTCAAGCATTGGAAAGGAGAAAGAATGAATTGAATATAAAAAGAATAAATGTGATATTCCCAGCAAAGTTAAATCAACCTTCTGTCGAAAATTGAAGTCCCCATCCAAGCGAATCTGAATGTTTGCGCCTCTAGCCAAGCTAGCACAAGGCATTCTCAGAGAAAAACGGGAAAAAATGATCACATGCGGCGCTTTAATGCAAAAACTAACCTCGAATTTAGGCAGTAGAATTTGTAGAAAAAATTGTTTACCAAATAAAATGTTTCGCAAAAGTACCGTGCAGACATACCGACGAAGTGACTACACGGGTTCTTATTCCAGATCCATTGATACAGTTTGGAAATCCAACGAGTTGGTGCAACTAAAACAAGTTGCATGGCTGAATTTTCAGACTTTAAGAGTGAACAAATAAAACTCGATCATTTCAAGTAGTCGGCTAGTGAATGTGAGTAGTATGACTTGGAATGGGTGAGCGAGAGAGAGTAGAAGAGATTGAAGCAGTTTGCCTGATTAGATGTCGTTATCACATTGAAAATGGATGATATAACAGCATGTGGAAGGGAAACCACGAGGCAGAATGATGCGTAGTGCATATTCACAAAAATAAAAAGCAATTTTGCACTCATGACGCCTGGTCACGTATCGAATTAGCTCGTCACGTCCCTTCAAAAATGACACAATTGGTATATGATTTGTACATTTAGAACAAATAGTCTGTTGGAAGTCTGCTAAACTCAACTCGCTACTGCTCTGAATACTTTCAATCAGCTCCGTGGATGTCATCAGACATTTGGACGATCTTCTCACCACACAGTCAATTGAAGAGATGATGTCAGCTTCAAAGTGAAAAGAAATTAACCTTTGTGGTCGTGAAAGCCATCTTGAAAGATGCCAAGGAGCCCAAAAAGACAGTTGTCATATACAATTCCGATCTTCAGATGAAGAGAGACCAAAACTGATCTCTCTCTCTTTCTCTTCATTTCTGTGCATATGGGCGTGGTGGTAGAACCCCATTTCCGCAACCTCGAACAGAAGGTCGCACAAAGTTGTGAATGCACAATAGTTGAAGATGCCCACAAGCCGACAAATATGTCTTACGATGCCAGGGAAGTTCACTTAAACGTGCCTGCCAAAAGAATGGGATCACCTCGCAATCTCTCCATCCAAGTACCATACGAGGCTGGTTTCAGGAGTGTCTTCAAGTCCTTGCACAGTTACCACATGGCAGGCCAGTCGGTTGGTACATTATGCCTAAAGACTAAAAACCGCATCTGGCCAAATATGTATGCAGACATTAAAGATAACATGTTATATGGAGACGAATACCTGCCCAAAAGCTCATAGAAGGTGAGTCAGAAGGTTCGAAAGCTGCTCATCTGTGGAAATGAGAATTTAATTCATAAATAGCCCATCGGGACTAGCAGTAGATCATATATTTAAGATGTACTTACTCTACTTATTTAAGGTTGCTACGGAGACTGGTAGCTGAATTTTCGTATGAAATTAGGGTTTAAAGACTACCAGTAAATCAGTATAATGAGATGTATTCATCCTATTTCGTGTAAGGTGATGAAGGACTGTTAGTAGAATTTTCCCACAATGATATGAGTTGAGCTGACGTTTCCATTTAATTTCACATAGCCTTACTTTCCCAAAAGTTATTCTCGTCCAGGGTGGACTACAGTTTCGACCTCGCATTGGTCTTATCAACACCCTCAGCGGGATTCGAACCGCTAACCACTTGGCTACACTGCCAATCATATCATTGTGGGAAAATTCTACTACCAGTCCTTCATCACCTTACACGAAATAGGGTGAATACATC